AGCTGAGGTACTTTAGACATGTAGGGTTTTTTCTAGGTGCCCATGATAAGTGGAAGAGGACTGGCACATACAGGTGGCACCCTGGACAAGCTGGAGTCTATACCTGGGTTTAAAGTCAACCAGTCAGTTGAACAGGTAATATGGGATTTTTTTAAACTTCAAATGATGCTCTAACTAGTTTGACTAGTCGTTTTATTTAATTAAGTATTATCAGTTATTTATTATTATTATAAACTGAGTTGAATTTAAGTTACAGTTAATGTGAGTTTATCCTGAGCAGAAGGATGTCAAGAAAATAACATTTAATATTAATATAACATTTTATCAATAGCTATAAAAATATTTTAGATTTGACAGCAGCACAGAATCATCTGTTCAAGAGAACACTCATTTAAATGAGGAACTGACTAATGCATACTGACATCATAAAATCCTGCTAACCATGTCTTCCATGGTTTGTTTTAGCATTTATAATTAATGTTGTTATTGAATATGAGCGTCATCAAATCAATTTTTACCACTGACTGTAATCCTTATATAATGAAATCTATGTAAATGAATGTAGCCCATGTACTGATTCATCACAGCATGCCGTTTCTCCCAAACTAATGATTTAGTATACACAATATTTCATAACACACTTCTTACTGGGCAAAGTTAGAAGTCAGAACTCAGTAAAAGGTTATTACCATTGTACTATTACTACAGTAGCCTAATTTTGTAGTATATTACGCAACATTTATATATTCATAAAATATCCAGATGCAGAGTGACATAAACCAGATATTTTTTATTAACATTTATGAACAATTTATTAATTTTTTTTTTTTTTATAATTTTCATGACTCATTATGTGATTGGACTGCCAAATGTTACAACATTAAAATACACTGAACAAAATTATAAACGCAACACTTTTGTTTTTGCCCCCATTTGTCATGAGCTGAACTCAACTTTTTCTATGTACACAAAAGGCCTATTTCTCTCAAATATTGTTCACAAATCTGTCTAAATCTGTCTTAGTGAGCACTTCTCCTTTGCCGAGATAATCCATCCACCTCACAGGTGTGGCATATCAAGATGCTGATTAGACAGCATGATTATTGCACAGGTGTGCCTTAGGCTGGATCTGGATATTTTATGAATATATAAATTTTGCGTAATATACTACAAAATTAGGCTTAGGTATTTGGAGAGGTGTTCTCTTCATGGATGAATCCCGGTTTTCACTGTACAGGGCAGATGGCAGACAGCATGTATGGCGTCGTGTGGGTGAGCGGTTTGCTGATGTCAACGTTGTGGATCAAGTGGCCCATGGTGGCCATGGGTTTATGGTATGGGCAGGCGTATGTTATGGACAACAAACACAGGTGCATTTTATTGATGGCATTTTGAATGCAGAGATACGGGACGAGATCCTGAGGCCCATTGTAAAAAAAAAAAGTTGCCAATGTCTTCAGAATCATTCATACATGTGAAAATCGGCTGAGAATTTAACAAGTAGTTGTTCAAGTTGTTGTTATTTGTGGTATTTTGTTGCATATATCTTGCATTTGTGGTGATTAAGGGATAATACAAGACTTCTCAATCTTACAAATGGTTGTCAAAAGCAAAAATACTATTAAATACACGTTTTGTAAGAAAGTGACATTCTAGAACAAAATGGGTACTATTTTTGGAATCAGAATTAATAAGAAACACGTATTTAATTTAATTCTGCATTCTGTTTGCAACTTTAAATCAAATTCAAACCCAATTCAGGATTTGAATTGGCATTTAAAAGTGATTCTCAATTTAATGGTTATACAATACTGGTGTCCATTTGCCAATAGGTCACTGCAGGCAACAAGTTGGGTGTGAAGACAGGGGCAGTGCTCAGCCGAATGGACGCTCCCATTGGCCAGAGTTTGGGAAATGTGGTTGAGGTGTGTGAAGCACTTGAGTGTCTTAAAGGACGAGAGTCAGATGATCTCAAGGAACTGGTCACAAATTTAGGTAAGGAGAAGGACCCACTTAAACATACTACTGTAAGATGCCACAACAGAACTTAATTGTGATGTCCTTCAAGACAAACTGGCCACAAATGTCTGCAATAAGCAAGCATCAAAGTTTTCATTGTGTTTAGGTGGGTATCTATTGTGGATGTGTGGCCACTCTGGTACTCTAGAGAGTGGGGAAACTGAAATCGCTGTGAAACTGGAGAATGGAGAAGCCCTGAAAAAGTTTGAGGCGATGCTGGTGGCTCAGGGTGTGTCTGCAGATGATGCACATTCCCTGTGCTCGAACGAGACCGACTACTTTGAGCACATGAAGCGTGCAGCGCATCAGACAGAGCTCGAGGTACTAGATGATGGTAATTATGTTCCATGTTCTCGTTTGAACATCAGATATGTTAATTATTTTACATAACACTAACAGCACAGGCATGATTATAAACAGATCGCGCTATTAATATTCACTGTTATTCATCTACATGCAATCATCACGTCCATTATCTCAGCAGCAGCCATTGTGTGTGTATGTGTGAATTGTTTGATTGACAGGAGCCGTTTTGGACATTGACGGTTTGGCACTGGGTGAAGTGCTGCATAAACTAGGCGCAGGGCGTACTAAATCAGGAGAGGAAATCGATCATAGTGTGGGAGCAGAGATCTTGGTTGAGATGGGACAGCAGGTACAGAAAGGTTAGTCTCATTTATCTCAATATATGACTGTTTGGAATGAAAAATGTATATACTTCTAACTAAAAAAGTATACCGACTTCTAAAAAATAGTATGTGAAATATGCAACACTAAACACTATGCAATAGCGATCGTATATAAACGACACACTTCACCACAATGCATGTTTACCTCAGCAAATGGCTTCCAGTTGTCCTAGAAATAAAATCCTGTTATTTTTAAATGTAATTTAAAATAACTATTTATTGTTAATTTAATTTATAATCCAGTTTTGTATAAAACATTTGGCAGTCCTATCAAACGATGAGTCAAGACTGATATTAATATCGCTTCTGGTTCATTCATCACAGTGGAAATGAGTCAAATTGCATTGTGGGATATATCTTCCACCATAGTGTGCTGTAGTTGTAGACTAAACATTTCTGCAAATAAAAAAAATAAAAAAAGTTAAATCTGAAATATTCAACAATACTATGAGTATTAGATATTTCATAATATTAAAAATGTTGTTTAATATTAAAAATCTTCCTCCGGTTCATTAATCACACTGGAAATAGGTTAAATTGCATCACCCACTATAGTATGCTATGCTGTATACTAAACATTTTCAAAAATGTGAAAATGTTAAATCTGATATACTCACTCGTACTATGAGTAGTAGGTCATATTTCATGTCAAAATAAAAACTCAAATCATATTGCCAAATTGCATTGTGGGGATATATAACCCACCATTTCACAAATGTGGAGATATTAAATTTGCATGCTGTGCACAGTATACATAGTGCCAAAATAGTATGAGTAGTGCTGTAGTAGCACTTTTTCAAAAATAGCCGACCTTTATATCTCTGTATAGTATTTATCGAGAAAATTTGTATTTATACCCTACTAATTCAATTGGCAGGTCAATCATGGATCAGGATTCATCACAATTGCCCAAATCTGAATCCACACTATTCTGACCTGCAGAAAGCTTTGGTCATTGGCAGCCATGACAAATACGAGACAGTATCACGTGTGGCAGAATTCATCCACCCAGATAATCACAACATGTCATAAAAGCCTCATTTGAAACGTATTTTGTTTGTAACAAATATTTCAGTTTGCATGTACTGTTACCAAGAAACTGTTTTCTTTATATGAAGCACTAGGGAGTTTTTACAAGAAAAACCTGACAGACAAAGACCCACACTGACATTTGAGCTCTGCATCTGGAAAATCTTTAAACATATTTGCTTACCAGTAGCTGGAACATTACTGTAGCTCAGGTCTGCTCAATCCCATCCTGTAAAATTTAGTTGCAGCTGTAAACAAAATCCCCTAAACCAGATGATCAAGGCCTTCAATTTGAACTTGAAATTGCAGCCAGGTGTGTTGGAGCAGGATTGAGCACACTAGAATAGCAGATGAAACGCTGCCACCACTCTCTCGCAGAGGAACTGCAGCATTATGGACCACAAACCTCTGAAGAGCTCAAGAATCTCAGATAACAGGGTCAGCTCTCATTCTTCTTGTATAAAAAGCATCTACAATGATGCTTTCAGATATTCATAGATTTGTCAGAAGGTAAAAGGAATCCGATTCCACAATGTGAATTCAGTTTTGGTTTTTCAAAATGCCTTTAAAGCGTAACACTGGTGCTTCATTTATATTTTTCAATTAAGTCTTTCTGTGTTTATTTAATCAAACCAATTAATCAGTGTGATTATCTTTTTAATAAATGGAGGTTGGAGAAGAGATGATCTTTGCTGCCACGTAGTGGTACAAATCATGTCCAACATGGCAGCGATGGTGAACCCCTAATGTAATTTGCACATTTTCTACATCCTTAAAGTAAAAGCTGGTTTTGAATATCTGTAGACATATCTAAAAAACAAACAGTTCATAGTTCATCCTAAATTCAAATGCAAAGCAATACTAATAAGATTTTTTTTTTTTTCGCGATAAATTTCCAGAATGTCAGTAGCCAACATTTTCATTAATGTGATTTATTAATTTTTTTTGTAAAACGAAATCTATTAATTATAATTTTTTACATTATTGTAATGAAATTTTTTTGGGGGGGGGCACAAAAAAAATAATGGCCCTAAAATAGGTTTAATTTTCTTAATGCAATAAAAATTTGTATTCCTTTTGACTTGTTGTGAAATATAACCTGGATATTTCTTTGAGAGATTCATCATATTTTACAGTTTATATTTATATTTATGACAGTCTTGCTTAAGTTTACATTTTAACTAGGAATTGACCAGGAATCAGTTACTTACATCAGTCATAATCGCCTTGTTTTTTTTGCCTAAAAGAAATATTTAAATCAAATACTTTCCCATGTTTTTTATTTCAGCACACGTAAAAAAAGGATATGCATTCAGTCTATTTTCTTCAAGATTAAAAAAGCAAATAATATTGCTGCTTTTCGATGCCTGAAGATGTCCTAGGGCAAGTCTTCAAAAGGGAGACGGGGAATTTCTTCTAAACGTGGATTTTTCTGTCCTGGATCGGGAGGCATCAGTGCGCCACAGAATTGAGCGGTTCTGCTCTTATGTTTCCAAGATCCAGCGCAGAATCTGTTTCTTCATCGATTTCACCGATTACAGCCCTTAAACACATAAACATACAAGCCTTTAAAATCCAATAAAGTCTGCAGTTGCTTTAAACAATGTAAATAAGTAGCACAAATACATACACATTATCGCCTCTGACAATATACAGTCCCAGAACCACCTGCTCTACGCCCTGGGAAGAGCTGAACACCCGCTCATGGCTTTCATCAAGGATGAGATTGATCGTCTGATCGAAGCCCTTTAGCGTCCCCTAAATACAAAACAATAAAAGCCATACGCAGGCTCCTTTATTAATGCACATAAACAATGTTACTAAAGGAGATGAGAAAGACTCACCACAATCATTCTGCCATCTGAAGTGATAATAGCAACCGTCCCTTGAATAATGTCAGTTAAGAAAATATCAAGCTCAAAAAGACTTACATAGACAATCATATTCAATTAAATTTATGTATATGTGTGTGTAATTAAATAAGTATATATTGGATATATAAAAAATAGAAATATGCATATCTCACTACACTATACACGCAGTTCAAGTCTCAATATATAATCAATGTATAAATAGTAGCACATGTATAATTAAAAGTATTATACATGCATAATAATTCTATGTAACAGATATAATTAGACACTTTACATGCATGCATTTATATATAGTAAACATACCATACACACAATTCATCATGCATATTTACTGTATATATGTAGTACATATCAAATCTGATACATTACGTATACACACATGCATACTAAAACGCGATAGTGACTTCATCATGCTCATCAAAACACGCTAAATCACTTGATAGCGCGCCACACAAATCGCGCCCATTGAAACACATAACCACTGTCATGAAAACAACACAACGCCACCAGCCAACGATCTACAACATCACCATCATCAAGTGCATCAAAGGATACGGTTAATGTAGCTCTCAAGAGCGGTAGACATCTCTGCTGGAGCGTGTTTATATCCACCGGTTCTTGAGCACAACTACAACGAAACACATTCGCTCAGCTGCGACCTGAACCGGAAATGAGAACGGAGAGACTCGAGTAGCCGATGACCTATCGCGGCAGTACTAGTCGAGTAGGAGCAATCGAACCTGTGGTACTGTATTTGTCCAGAAAGTGGCGCACTCTATAGGTTTCTTACAAATAGGTCTATATAATACGGTTTCTAACGAGCAACCTTTGAGCTTCGAATCAGTTCTAGGTGAAAAGACAAATTGTTTCAAGGTCACAGTGGGGGCTGATGGAAATACTGATGGTGATGGTGATCATGGCGATGGAACTTACACTAAAGTATTGTGGTGGTACAATAGTGACGCTACTTTGATTTGTAGATGCTGTTTACATGGTATTTCAAATATTACTTTGGTATTATCAGGATAAATGTTCAAACTATGATGTTACCATTGTATATTTCCAAAAAAAGAGACATGGTATTGTCTAAACTATACTATTGACAAACTAAGGCAATTCTTGGTATGAAGCTGGAGAAACAATAATTACCTACACAATCCATTGCACAATCATAGCTAAAGGAAATAAACCAGATGATAATTGTTCACATTCTGAACTCTGTCCAAACCCCTCATTACAATACAAAACACCAGGCACATGCTGTTGTAAAGCACAACACAAGTGATTGTTAAAGTTAATCATTTATGTTGTTATGAGGAAGTGAACTTTAAGCCTGAGATGCATTAGAAGAAGGATCTCCGGGAAACAGTTATGGTAACAAATGCTATATGAAATATACTTGAACCAGGGAAGAAAAATGGATGTATAAATAAAATCTTTCCGACAGTTTAGACTTTTACCATACCAAATTGGACAAATAACAAGGGAAACTGGTTTAGCATTACAGGTAATTCTTTGAAAGTGGTATTTAAACAACGGAAACTTGTTTAATTTGTTTTTAATTTCTATTCATCAAGTAATATGATCTTCTTGTAGCTTATCTCTGTTTTCTGTTTCCACGCAGCCTGTTTTAGATTTCATGTGAAGCTGTGACAGTTTGTTAAAGGCAACATGAAAGCAGACGACAAACTTCAGATCTTGAAATTCTTTCTAATGCTTGTCAATTCCTTCTTTGTGGTAAGATAAAATAACCGTAGATCTGTATGTTATACTGGCAGTGATTTTAGAGACATTTCTTGTTTATCACTTACAAAGAAAGAACTTCCTGGACTGCAGTCAAATATATTAATCATACGGTGGACACTGTAATATGATTAAGCTTGTTTTCTGCCAGCAGTGTGCAAAGACAGACTTCTGCACCGTTAAATAAAACATCTTAATTCATGCATGGCTACATGTACAAACAAGTAACAATTTACATGATCTTGACAGATTCTTGGCATCAGCATTTTTGCGTGTTCTGCTTGGATTTTATTTGATAAGGACAGCTTTGTAAGTGTTCTCAGCTCTGGTAAGTTTCCTGTTTGTCATAGTCTATCATTATTCAAAATAGCAGCTTACACAATGCATGTTATTGCAAATTGCCTCAGATTATCTATAATAATGTATTAGGACAAGATGTTATTATCACTATTAAAAAGTATACTACTTTGCCGTAGCCAATTTTTAGTGTCCTTCAATATGATTTTGGTGTGTGTTAATGAAGCAAAACCTGTGGTCTCTCAGGACAGGAAGTGAAGGTGGTGGCTGGGGGGCTCTTTTTCATTGGCCTTGTTGTGGTTTTTGTGTCCTTGCTGGGTTGTGCTGGTGCCTATTTTGAGAGCCGATGTTTCATCATATTTGTAAGCATAATTAATGCAGTGCACAAAGACACTAATAACTTTTACCCTGTTTTCGGAGTTGCAATAAAAGCTTGGTGTTAACTCTTCTTGTTTTTTTCAGTATATGTGCTTCTTGATCGTCATCATACTGGGTCAGCTTTTCATCACCTTTGTGCTATTAATACGAAGAGACAAGGCAAGTCTTTGCAGAAATGATTAATACTGTAACGAAAAACACAGCTGGCTTTAACTTCACACACGAGATTCCAATGATAAAGTGATTAAACAAATTGTCTAACACATGTTTTGAATGTTACCAGATTGAGCAGTTTTTGAGGGATAATGTGGACGAGATCATTAGGGAGTATGGAGGAAATGAAACCCAAACGTCTTGGAAACTTCTAGACAGTGTGCAGACTTCTGTACGTGGCTGATTTACATCTGAATGCAAGATGACTGGATGATGATTGTAACTATTTTAGCTAACAATCAGCTATAGAAAGGTGTGTTTTGATAGAAGTGTATTTTTTTTGCTGTAGGCACAATGCTGTGGTAGGCTGACCTCAAATGAATGGAGGAATAACACATTTATTGAGTCCTGGGGGGAGACTGACATCTACCCTTGCTCCTGTTTTAACGGTACCTGCCCTGTAATTCTGCCTGGAACACACAGCTTTGGAAACGGATCAGACATCTATGAAACGGTAACATATGTTGCCTTTTTTTCCATCATTACAACCTTTTCAGTTATCCTCCTTGTTTTAATTTGCACACTAAAGCAGTTTTTTTGGTGATAGGGCTGTGAGAAGGTTCTAGTGGACTGGCTAGAGATGAATATAATCGTAATATTTGGAATGGATGTTGGGCTTCTTTTGATTCAGGTAAGGAGAGACCAAAAAATAAAGAAATTATTTTTCACATATATGTAACCAATTAAAAATATATTCTGGGACAAATAAAAGGCAAGCACCTTGGACTTAACTTAACTAAAATAATAAAATAAAATAATAAAGTAATTGTTGTATGTTTCTCCCTTGGAATTGAATTAACACAAGTTAAACACCGTTGACTTGTACAGCAATAAATAAATAAATTAAAAATTAAGAAATAAAAATAAAATAAATAAAAATAATTGTTGTATATTCCTACCTTGCAATGCAATTCATTTCAGTAATAGAGCTTAACTTGTATTTAACCTAAAATAAAATACAATAAAACTATTAAAAATATATAAATAATAAAATAAAAACAATTGTTCTCCCTTGGAAGTGCATAATGCATTACAAGTTAAGCATCTTTGACTTATACAGCAAAAATAAAACCAAAAAATAATTGTTTGATATTTCTCTCTTGCAAGTGTATAATCCAATTCATTGTAGTGATTGAGCTTAACTTGTATTTAACATAAAATAAAATAGAAATGTGTTGTATATTTCTACCTTGTAAGTGTATAATGCAATTCATTTCAGTGATTGAGCTTAACTTATATTTAACCTAAAATAAGATAAAATAAATAAATAATAAAATAAAATAATTAAAAATATCTAAATAATAAAATAAAATAAAATAAAAAACAATTGTTGTATATTCTCCCTTGGAAGCGCATAATGCAATTCAAGTTAAGCATCTTAGTCAGCAAAAATATATTAAAGATACATTCAGCATACAGCAAAAATAAAACATCAAAATAATTGTTGGATATTTCTCCCTTACAAGTGTATAATCTAATTCATAGTAGTGATTGAGTTTAACTTGTATTTAACCTGGAATAAAATAGAATAAAATAATAAATATTAAATAATAAAAATAGAATGCATTTTAGTGACTGAAGCTTAATTTTTATTTAACTTGGAATATTTCTAAATGATTTCGGATCATATTGTCTTGTAATGCTCAGATTCTGCAGTTCATCTTTGGTGTCCAAACCTTCAAATGCATCGGCCGTAAGACGAGGGAACTGCATCCCAATAATCTCCTGAACGCCATGGAGGAGAATCCTGCAGCGCAGCCTGAACCCCAGCAGTACAGTATGGAAAATCAGCAGTTTGATACTCAAACCTATGACCCTCAAATGGACAATGGCTACTATCATCACGGTGGATATGTTGACGGGAATTATGACCAGTGTAACAATCCTGAATTTTATGAACCGGATAACCGTCAAATGTACAATAGCCATCATAATTTGCAATACCAGCAGAGCTACAATGGCAGTTATGATCAGGGATACATGCAGCACCAGAGCTACAATCCTGATGACTACTGAAGCCAGATTTCTTCTCTCGTGTAATGTGATCAGATTGGGATGGGCTAATTTGCGGTTTTAAAAATAGCATTCTGTGGTCTGTGCCTGACCAAAGACACTTAAAACCTTCTCGTAAGACCATTGTTTTGTTTCACTACGTTCAGGTTAGTGCCTGTTCCCAGGAGTATCATTTGTCATTTTAAAGACAACCAGCATCTTTTTCTCAAACAATTCATTCCAGACCTCTAAGGTCAAAGGCTTTTTAAGACAAAATATTTCTGTAGAAGTCAGAGCTCAGGGTTTGATGACAGACAATTAACTCATTTTTCTGGCAGATTTTCCATTTTATTTTAATGCCATGACAAGTTTACAGGTATTTTATAACTGTAGTAGTGTAATTATATAAAAATACTGACCTGAAATTATAACCAATATGAGACAATCCACACAATATAACTAGCAACAATAATAATTAAAACACTGTTATATGGTAAAAATGTTTTTTTTAAATAAAGAATAAAAATCTACATGATTTCTACTTGAATCATACAATTAAAAATAAACATGTTTTATATACAAGCGCTATATTTATATTATTTTGATTATTACTAATCAATAGAGAACAAAAAACACAAACTGTATTTAAGATGTGCGTAAACCATTAGTCATCCTTTGCTTTTCGTGCCACGAAGATTCCTTGCTCTCAGTTGTGATATTTGGATGATTCCAGAGGTTGTTTTGTAAATCACTGCACACTCAGACCTGCTTTATGAGTCAAGAGTTGATGTTAATGACACTGGGGGTCTTTTAGTGTGTGAATGTATCTGTGTGTGTGTGTCAGAAGCTGAGTCGGCGAGTCAAGAGTAGGCTTTGACTGAAGTTTGATGGACGACACTCTCTATAGGCCATAAAGAGCGGCATGTCTATCCGCATGAGAGGGCCCTTTGTTACGGTCGCTCTGCGGTTGATGATAGCCAGGCTGACATTACCGACCTCGTGCGGTTATGAGTTGGCAGTCATGCTTTACGACAACAGTTGACAGCGCACGCATTGATGGAGACAATGTGAAAGTTACATGGAGAGAAGCTTGAGATTTCCACTGCCAGCACCTGATTCTGCTCTGGACAGAGTGATGCACAGTGAGTCAGTGGGAATTTTCAAGACTGTCTGGGATGTGCTGGGACAGTGACACAAAAGTTATTCGAAAATAGCATAAAAGGATCTTTTAGGTTGTATTTTGAGGGAATAGTTGATCTAAAAATGAAAACTGTGTCATTTACTCACTTTTGTGTTACTCAGGACTGTTGTGGAACACAAATTGAGATGTTTTGAAGAATGTTTATGCTGCTCTTATAATGTGACAATGGCCTGTCAAGCTCTGAAAATAACAAAAAAAGCACCCTAAAAACTAGAATATTGTCCATGAGACATATGGACTAAGTTTACAAAGCAGGGGCCGGCAACCTTTTGGGCATGAAGTGCCATTTTAAATTTTTCTGGTTAACCACTATGCCAATAATAAATATGAGGAATATGAACCACTGAAATTTTGAAACGTTTTGAAACAGCTGTGACGTAACAAAGCCTCGTTTATTAAAATCACGTCTTTGGCAGTTTGATACGTGCTCCGAACCACTGGTTTGAAACAAATGATTCACAAAGCTTTTGAAGCTTAACGAAGCTTCACGTCAAAGGCATCCATCACTGGTGAAAGCAAGGCGCAGCCAACGCGATCTCACGACCAATTCATACATATTTTACGAGGTGGCTAATTCATATGAATTCGTACGACCTCACTCGTACAATTTTGTACGATTTGTCTAGACCCCAGAGACAGGTAGGTTTAGGGGCGGGGTTAGCTGAAGTTCAATTGTACAAATTCATATGAATTGTGCAACTCATAAAATATGTACGTTTTGGCCAGAATCCTATGAATTTGTACGACTGAGGTCGTACGAATTAGCCACCTCGTAAAATATGTATGAAATGCCATGAGATTGGGTTGGCGCAGCACTGATCTGAAGCGCCTCATATGCACACCGATAGCGCTAATGGTTTGAATGGTTCTGTAGACTAGCACAGGTTAATTCTCACACTTTAATAGTATTTATAGCTCCTAACAGGCTGTGTGACTATGAGGAATGATTACCCCAAAATGTACGTCGGTATGCAGTTTTCCCTTTTGCTCGCGTGCCAGTGATCATCTCTCTGCGTCCCAATGTTGCCGACTCCTGTTTTAAAGCCATGGCAGCTTTGCGCAGAACAGATCGAAATGTAAGTCAATATTTACTGAAATTTATCTCAAGTCTCATTTGTTCTGCTCTTATATTGTGACAATGGCCCGTCAAGCCAAAAAATTACAAAAAAAGCACCCTAAACACTTTGTAAATGTAATCCATATGACTCATGGGAATTATTCCGAAGCCAAAGGCCAGCTTTGCGCAGAACACACATAAGTCACATATAATGTATGAACTGCATTACGTACAAAATATCAAACCAAGTGGCATCAACAAACCAAATGCAAAAACAGCTAATCAAATTTTTGCACTAATTTCAATCAACTGGTATAAAGTCATTCACACTTTGTAGTTCATCACATTTAATATAAACATGTTCAGTAGTTTGAAAACCACAATGTCTCCAAACCCATTTTTCTCAATTGTGTACAATATATGTATTATTTTATAGTTTGAAACCAAAATAAACTTCTTTTTATAAAATGTTCTACTTGAAAAGTGTGTTTGTGCTTTATTTCTTCAAAATAGCCTAAAGGTAACTTGGTTTGATATTTTGTTAAAAAAATGCATTGAAAATCAAACATTAAGTGCAGCTTAAGCGTTCAAACACTTTGTTGTACAGAAAGAAGCAGCATGAACATTGACTAATCTATCTAATCTGAACATTGAAAAATCGATTCTAATCTACTCAGTTGGTCTTAATCTCAAGACAATGTTATTGAGTTACAGCGAGCAGGAAAACAGACACCGGAATGATCAAGAGATGCTATAGCAAGTGAGATTGAATTATGGGACATGAGTCATGTTGATGTTACATCTTTACCATGTGAGCTCTTTTCTCATGCTCACTGGGTTTCCCCATGTTGTCACGAAAACAATCAGCTCTTGTTGCGCCGCTGGAGTGTGCGAGTTAATAAAACGCGGTCGGACCGATGACCTGGATTGCAGACCCTCTCAAGAGTGACAGAGACGTTGAGTTCTTCCGGCCAGAGTGTGTTTGTGTGAGAAAGATAGTTTGAATATGTTAAAGCTGGATGAAACGAGAGACGTCAGATACCTCCCTCTTCAGAAGAACCGGATCTTCTGAGGATCCCATCAGGTTCATTATTGGTTACCAAATGAGTAGTAAATGCCAAAAATCTAGGCATTGTAGTCCACGCTGCAAATCAAACGTGTTTCAAGACAAGCCCGTGCTCTGTTCCAAAGATGTTTTCTGGTGCAAAATAAACCACCGTCCTCATGCAATGGGGCGCTGGCACAAAAAAGCCATTTATCCTCCTCGCGGAGGCCTGCAGGACCAGCAGCGTTCCTCAAAGCCAGCAAGCTGCCGCGGGCATCGCAACAGACCAACCAATGCGCTCATCAAAGAGCCACACTTCCTGCCGGATGAAATTCTCCCATAGTTTTTAGGATGGCATCCCGTAATAACAGACTCTCATTGATTGGTTAAGCTCGACACAAGTTGCGATTCGTCTCTTCAGCCTGATGTTTTTTTGTGATGAGCAGGTAAGGCTTGATGAGTGAGTTTAGAAACATCCCATGTATCCCTCCTGGAACAGCCAAAATATTCCCTTCATTGTCCGCTTCGTAAACCCGGAGATTTCCACCGCAAAATATTGCCATTTCCAATGAGTTTCCTCATGCATTTTTAATTTAAACCTCTGTGTCTGCACACCCTAAAGAATCCACCCATGCCCTGAAAGGATGCCACATGTTGATGGAAAAAAGGCTTTGTTAGGTCTTGTTTACTAACTGGTAAACAGACAAAGACTTGTTGCAATTAACAGACTGCTACCTGTCCTGTTGGCTGCTAGAGCTGGAATCAGGGTGCCCTTGCGCAGCTCCGCTGTGGGGCCCGGCTCTGCTTTCTTCAGCTCCGTCGTGGGGCTCATTCAAGCTGACTTCATGCATTCTTTGCGCACAACAGTCGCTTCTTCTGAATACCTGCGGATAGGTATAGATTGAGATAACTTTGATGGATGACAAGTCCTTTCTATCATAATGTTCTCAAAGCAGAATGCTGTCAATGCAAAAATGCCAAAAATTTCATTGAGCGCCTTCAGGGCTTCCTCACAATTGTGACGCAAGCCTCTGCTTCTGGTAAACATGGCTATACTTTGTAAGGGTATAAAAGGGTACTAACTTACCATCGTGACAGTGAGGACCAGAAGCGCCATGCTAGGGATGATGAGCAGCGCCAAGAGCCCATGAATTGCTCCGCTCATACCGTTCTGCTGTCTGCTTTCACCTGCCAGAACATAAAAGCACATTCCCTTCTTAGCTCTTACGTGTACAGTACACTATATAGCAAGAAGTATGTGGACACCTGAACAACACACCCATTTGTGTTTGTTGAGCATTTCATTTAAAAAGCACTGGCATTAATGAGGTGTTTAATCTCCCTAACGGCTTCCATTTTTCTTGGAAGGCATTCCACTATGTTGGGACATGGCTGTGGGGATTCACTTTCATTCAGACATAAGAGCATCAGAGATTCATTGTTAGTCTCCTCAATGTCATTAACGAAGAGCTTTTAAAAAAAAGAAATTCATTGATACAACGGAGACAAAAAATTGTTATAATGACGATAATTAAGTTAAGTTATAATGACGATAATATCTTTTAATTGTGATTTTACTGTTGGCCATGAGAATATTATATGAAAAAAATAACACTGCAAGATATTAACAATGGAGTAACAACATTTTTCTAAAAAAAAACTAATTATATTATAATTTTGAGAGATTTATCACTTAAGTGGCGCAAGCTGAAACTGAATTGCGAATGAAAACTGGTAAAATTAAGTGCTGATAATAATGTTACTGAAACACATACTATATATATGAGATTTACCATGTATTACACACACACATAAACTTCATCTTACAACTTGACACAAATGCCAAAGAAAACCTAAACTAAATTACATGCTAATCAGAATTCACTTTGTGAATACGGTCTTGCTGTATTTAATGCACAATGTATTAAAACACGCACAATAAATAAATAAATCATAAATAATTCATAATACTCTACTGCAATAATGTAGTCATTATAATGTTATTATTTCATGAGCTCAGGTTCTCACAACAAGGACAGTTTTTACATGTTCTGCTAAATGCTGATAAAATTCATATTATATTAAAATGTTTGAATATTGAATTTAGCACTTTCTCAACGTAATATTGACTAAATGTAGAGGAAATTAAAAAGAATATATATATTTTATATTTATATATTTAAAGAATACAAGACAAAAACTTTGACTAAAACAAAAAACGAATACAGTAAGGGGTTCAAGTCTGGGCTTTGTGAAGGCCTGTCAAGTTCAGCCACACCGGGACATTCTCATGCTGGACCTCCCGCAAATGGTTTCACACGATTCTCTAGAATGTTATCGCATGCTTAGATAGTGCTACACTCCTGTTTTACAAACAACATATCTACTGATTTTCCTGCTATATTGTGTGTTTTGCACACATGTGCTCAAATTTTGCATGCATGTGCTCAGGTTTTAAGAAATTCATGTGCAGCCCAGATGGAATCAGCCTCCTTGAAACTCTGGAAGACAGCAGTTTTCTGGAGAATTGGTTCTACGTATCCTCGGTTCTTCGCTTTATCATCTTTACATCCGTTCCGCAGAATTCTCATTTTTTCTGCCAAAAAAGATTCCATCTAGACCTGCTCATGCATCATATACATGAGAAAAAAACAATATTTTGCACATTCACCTGGTGTGAAAGGAGGAGCTGGCGGGGTCTTGCAAGGAGGAGGTGTGCAGTCATGAAATTTGCCAACCGTGGATCCAGCCGCTGTAAGAACCTCTTTAACATGGTTAAAGTAACGTCTAGTCGGCCACTTTCCCCTTCTGTAGTGGCACTCGAATGTTTGCATTGTCACCTCCTAGAGAAGACAAACAAACCAGAGTGAACCGACAGCCACGACAACGTTTCAAAGAATGCGAATGTAAACGCGAGGAAATTACCAGCTCCTCACTGTCCAGAGTGAAACGAAAACTCTCCAGCATTGTTATAAAAATAGTGATGTTCACTTTATTGGTGGACAGGTTGCCAAACTTGAGGGCCAATGTTTTTAAACTGCTTTCAACGTGATACAGGTTCACATACAGCCAGCAAGCTCCACCCTTAGATATTAGAAAAGAAAAATGCTTATAGGTGTCACTTCTGGAACTGTCACAAACCACAACAACTCTTTAATACATAATGTTTTATCTGATAATGGCCCTAAAATGTATTTGGAGACTCAAACCACACTTCAAAATGTAATGAATTTACATGATATTCAAGCCGACTGGAATTTATTTTAAAGAAACATGCATGAGCATTTTTAATGCAAAACATTTCAACATATAAATGTTTGTTAGGTTTAAATGATAAAACAACAGAATTGTTTTAACTTTAGAAAATATTATGGAATATGGAAAGATAAGTTTACAAATGTATGTGATCTACACCTGCTAAGAGAACTAACTTTATGCATTCACTAAAATTCACCCGCTGGTTAAAAGTCATTGCAAAAATCAGAACGTGAAGTTAGTTCAGAGATAAGCTTTAGCATAATTTGTTTGCCACGTAGTTTGATATTTTGATATCCAATACAAATGAAATTCATACATAAAGTGTGGCTCAAAGTGTGCAAATATGATTTTGGGCCACAAAGCAAACTTAGTCAACCGTATCATCAAATATTAGCTTGTATCACACTTGCCACATCCTTGGTGATGAAACGGATAGGTATTCTGTAGTCACTGGGAATGTTTTCACTCTGTTGGGTTGAAAAAACAAGAATTGGTTGGTTGTATAGCAGAAAAATGTCCTGACTAGCCAAATATGAAATTGATTTCCCTGCTGGGAAAAACAGCTAAAACTAGATGGTTTGTTGATCTCCCAGCCTAGCCAAGCTAGTCTTAGCCTGTTAAGATGATCTCCCTGCATGGCTAAACTGGTCTTCAGCTAGTCCTGACCAGTGTTGGGGAAAGTTACTTATAAAAGTAATGCATTACAATATTGCGTTACTCCATAAAAAAGTAACTAATTACGTTACTTAGTTACTTTTTATGGAAAGTAATGCGTTACGTTACTTTTGCTTTACTTTTTTAATCTGGACAGGGCTTGTTTGTTTGTTTTTAAAATAAAAAAAGTTATATTTTTGGCAAATATAAAAGCCTTTTCACACCAAAAGTGAAATGAATAAGCCTCAGGCTGAAGGTAAAGTAAATTTACATCCGTACAGTAGAATGCAGAAGAAGAAATTTCAACACACTTCAGCAATAAAAAAAAAAAGACACACAAATGTTTGTCTAGAGTCATTTTTGCTCATTTGAACTGGATCATCGAAGGTCAGAAGCAAAGACATTGGTTAATAGAATGGGATTAAATACATAAAGGATATTTGTGTTGTTTAACATTTAATTATTGCAGGTTTGCATCATATTCTGAGTTGCATTATTTTTTAGAACTACAGTAACATCTTCTGATTTCTCTCAACATGGACCGGAGAGCTGTCAATCAATAAATTGAAAAAAAAAAGAAGTAACTTTAGTTACTTATTTGAAAAAGTAACTCAGATATTCTCTTGTAAATTAAAAAGTAATGCGTTACTTTACTAGTTACTTGAAAAAAGTAATCTGATTACGTAACTCGCGTTACTTGTAATGCGTTACCCCCAACACTGGTCCTGACCAGGTGAAAACATGCTCAAATCCCCTCTAAAACAGCTTTCAGACCAGTTTGAGAGACCAATAAACCATCGCAAGTTGGTTTTTAACTTTTTGTCCAGTAGGGTTCCACAAAGTCAAAACATAGAAAGCAAGAAAACCATTAATAAAAGCCCTTTTGCAAAACTTACCAGTGTTTCCAACGTGGCAACATCATCTGTTAAAGGGCTTCCAAAAACACCTGAGCAGGTCACAAGCCCAGAAAAAAGCAACACTAATACACAAATGCTTTCTCCGCTCTATAACGAAAAAGTCTCAATGTAGTTACAGTAATACAGACAGTAAATAACGCGCGCAGTGCCAAACACCTATCCAGTCTGAAAATGATCACAGGATACATCCTAATCATTTCACTAGACAACCCCTATAAGGAATGAAAAGTAATCAAATGCAAAATTTGAGTTAGAAAGTGAGTTGAGCCACCGCGCATTCGTTTACGCTGTGGGTGTGCGTGCGCGTGTACTCACCTTAACCTCCCTCATGTGGAACATGGGAATATTAAAAACAAATCAGCCGTGTCTCCTTACTTTCTTCGCTTTCCCTGACAACGGAATGCAGGCATGTTTCCGCCTGTACATCTGACTGCAGATAATCACAGGACGGTCTCGGGATCAGTGGTTTTGGCGTGTCTTTCTCCTCTGGTCCCGATGGAGAGCATGGCGTGCTCAGTGCGCAATTTCGCCCTGCAGCGCTTCTGTGACTTGAATGGGGGCGGATGGACTTGTCCTCTGTGTTTAAGAGGTAGGGCGCTTTGACTCACTTATAATGTGTAAAATAGAGAAAACTATTCAAGGGAACATGAGTGACTCATCCAGACCTCAATCACAAGTGACACATGGGAGTTTCGTATGAAAAAAAGAAAAGAAATGGTTAAATCAGCCTGAGACTCTTTGCTGGTTTTGGCTGATTTCAGTTGGCCTCCTAGTGCTCCAAAGTCTAAAACCAACCAGACCAAATGAAATGATAACTATCTCAAACCAGCTGAGAAATGGGCAAAATCCCAAAGTTGACCAGCTGAAAATCCCTCTAAAACCAGTTGAAAATGGCCATTAACACCCTGAAACCAACCTGATCAGCCAGAAAATGGCCAACACCCTCCGAAACCAGACCAGATTGACCAACTGTAAAATACCAAAAAGCCCTCTAAAAGCAGACTGACAAGCCGAAAAGTACCCAAAACTCCAGACCAGAAGCAGCTCTGGCTAGTTTAAATAAGTCGTATCTTGAGATTTTTGTATGGTTCATTCATAATATATCTGACTAAACGTATAGTAACCTAATTAAACACTAACAATGGTTTGCTGGTTTCACAGCCTGATAACTTGGTTTTAAAGTGGTTTTGGGCACATTTCAGAAGGGTCGTACTGAGAGACCTGCTTAAGACAACGTAAACTAGAGCCTAAACTAAAGACCAGTTTAAGAAGTGTTCTATTTCTGTTTAACAAGGTAATAACCGTTTGTAATTACAAGATGATCCACAAAATAATTGCAGAAAAGTACATGTAGTTCATCATTAATACCAAATAATTACCAGTATTAATACAAATGACCATTAAACTAGCACAAAATACACTGCAATGTGAAGTCCAAAAATGAACACTTCATAATCTATCTATACAGACTCACTTACACATGTTTTTATCATATAAATTAAATATATTGTTAAATAATATAATTTATTTGTCATAAAAATAAAGTTTCTGTCAACATTAATGCATTAGGTTTTATGAAATGACTATATATATATAAAATATTTAATTGTTCATTAACTCATAATGCTTTAATGTCAACACGCTTGGTTGAACTGCACCAAACCTAACTACAAATCTACTTACTGTACATTCTTTTAACTTAAAATAAAGCATTTGGCTTCACAATTAAACATCAATTTGATATAACCCCTTTTAAGTGCTGCATAATTAAAATCCCACCTAGACTGTAAAAGTTCACTCAACATAAACCCAAGTGTGCAGTCACGATGTGTGTGCACTGCCACCTTGTGGCGACTAACAACTGCTTTTCAACTTTCATTTCTGAAATGCATGACTGACAGACAGGTGGATTAAGTTTTGACAGAACGGGTGTTTCCCATACTTGTTAAGAGACAATATAGGGTGAAGTTTAAAATTAAAAATCTCATCCAAAAAACATTCCACCCTTTCACGCCATTACAAATAGCCACCTTTTCAATGTTTAATTTTTAAGGTAAATGACATTTTTAAATGTTGATTTCAGTACCTCTAAAGAAAAAGCACAAGTTGTATGATTAGTAAAACAACTGAGGAATAAGAATTTATCAATTGGTATCGGGTGTTGGATAAAAAAAGGATATGTGGAGCAGTCTTATTAGATTTTACAGCTGCATTTTGACCTTATTGATCTTAAGCTTCTTTGAAGTTGTATGATTAGTAAAACAACTGAGGAATAAGAATTTATCAATTGGTATCGGGTGTTGGATAAAAAAAGGATATGTGAAGCAGTCTTATTAGATTTTACAGCTGCATTTTGACCTTATTGATCTTAAGCTTCTTTTGGAAAAATTGGTGAGTTATAGATTTAGACCATCAGTAATTGCTTGGATGGAAAGTTATTTGGATAACAGATCACAGAGAGTTTTTTTTAACGGAAGTTACTCAGAAGGAAAATTGAATGTGGAGTTCCACAGGGGAGCTGTTTAGGACCACTTTTGTATTCCATTTTCACAAATGATTTATATCTGGTATTAAGAAGTGCTAAATTAACAATGTATGCAGACGATACAAGAGTTTATGCATCTGCACAAACGTCGGTTCAATTGACGGCTATTTTGAATGAGGAGTTGGAGTATAGAAAAGTAGATTTTAGAAAACAAGTTGATACTAAATACATCTAAAACAAAGAGTATAATATTTGGGTCTAATTATTCTCTACGGTCCAAACCAGAGCTGAAATTATAGATAAATAAATCACTTATTCAGCAAATGAAGGAAGCAAAATTATTGGGTATCACCCTGGATAATAAATTGTCATGGTGAAAGCATATTGAGAACACAGTGAAGAGAATGGACGGCTATTTTGAATGAGGAGTTGGAGAGTATAGAAAAGTGGATTTTAGAAAACAAGTTGATACTAAATACATCTAAAACAAAGAGTATAATATTTGGATCTAATTATTCTCTACGGTCCAAACCAGAGCTGAAATTATAGATAAATAAATCACTTATTCAGCAAATGAAGGAAGCAAAATTATTGGGTATCACCCTGGATAATAAATTGTCATGGTGAAAGCATATTGAGAACACAGTGAAGAGAATGGTAAGGGTGGTAGCTGTCGTAAGATGTAGACAATATTTTACGTTTGATATAATGAAAATAATATTGGACACTCTCTTCTTCACACAGCTGGACTATTGTCAGATGATATGGGCCAATGCTACAAAAAAGGATTTGAGGAAACTCCAGTTGGTACAAAATAAGGCATCAAGGTTAATACTCCAGTGTCCGTATGGTACGAATATTAATAGTATGCACTTTGATCTTAAATGGCTAAGAGTGGAAGATAGGATGATTGCTGTAATATTGTTATCAACATGGAAGATTTTACATTTTAAAACTCCATTGGATCAGTATAATCAATTACAATCTAATGTTCAGTCACATGAATATGCTACTAGATGAGCAACAGAGGGTAGATTTTTACTCCCTAATGCTAAAACTAATTTTCTTAAACGTATAGTAACATTTAGGGCAATGAAAACATGGAATCTTTTACCATTGTCAATTCGGATAACACGAAAAATCAATTTTAAAAGGCAGGTAAAGGCACACCTTGGAATTCTGTACTTGTAGGAGGTTGAGGTATAGGAATTAGTTGAAGCAATACATTTTTTTATATAGTAGGTGTTATAGATATTAAAAGGGTGGAATAAATGTTTATAGAGATGCTTTGGAATGTGGAGAATGTATTTAACTTTTTATTTTTAATGTATGTAATAATGTATGAATGTTAAGTGTTGTGTGGACCCCAGGAAGACTAGCAATGCCTTAGGGCATAGCTAATGGGGATCCAAATAAATAAACAAAAAATAAACAAATCAACAACCATTTAATGAGTTAAATAGCATGAAAAAATTGCATTTGTGCTTTCGTTTTAATCTTTGGGACGTCCACTGTGTATAAAGAAGGGTGTAGCAGGTGACAGCTTAAAAATGGACTCTGTTAACATTCAAAGCCAATTACATAAAGTACTGTGCGTTTGACTGAGTGGTTTTGACACAAAGACATAAAACGGTGTAGTGGTAACACGCAAATCTGAGGTGTGTGACAGGCAGGAAATCAAAGATTTGATCTTAGAAAAAAAAATATACACCTGAGAGAGAATCATTTGTCATTGCGTATGGCCAAAGACAAAGGCACAAAGTGACAGCAAGAGCTCATTTCCTCTTTCGGGGGCTCCTGTCCGAGTCCTTTTTTTCATTGGAGTCCTTCTTGCCGCCCCGGTTGGATGGAGCTGCCGCTTGGCTTTTCTCGGCCACCTCAGAGGGCTCTTTGGGTTTCCTAGTCTTGTGATCAGCTGAAGCTGGTCTAGGTTTTGGGCCCCCTAAGACCCAGGAGAAGACGGCTTTGAGGAGGAAGATACCGGCTACAGTAGCTAACAGTGTTGAAAGCAGGAGGGACCCCGAGAGGCCTTTGACGTGGTCTCGAATGAGGCTCAGAGCTTGGGATACAGGTGTGTCAGAGCCGGTCTGCGCTGGGAACTTCTCCTGCACGCAAACAGACTGATGTTTCAAATCAATCATCAAAACTCTATTACCTTTCCCAATGCATGTTACTGGTTTTATTGTGAACTGTGCATGTTCCTATTTTACCTTCAGTCCAGCCTCCTCTAAGAGTTTCTTGAGCGTCGGGTCATCGAGGTTCACAATGGGAAAAAACTCCCTTTTGTACTGCCGCCTCCACCAAGCCTGCAGATGGGTCCTTCCAAAATGACAAACACAAGTACACTAAATTTGAGAGCAGATTCAGACTGCAGTGCTGTTTCTCTTCCGTTAGTAAGTTTCAGGAACTAACAGGATGACAGAAAGCATGCAATTCTATTTTTGTGTGGGCTTTCACATGATGGCTTCACTTCGGTCTCTAAATAACGGTGCAGTAGATACATTTATATAAGGCAGCTTTTTTGAGGTCTTATGTACCACAGCACCATCTGTAAGCTGAAGTATCCCTTCATCAACAGCAAACAAGTCATATATGAATAAAATGTCTGTAATAAAAATAAAAAAACTGAAGAAAAAAAATCATGTTAATTCAGTTTGTTACTCTATTGATTATACAGATTTAACATTGAACTGCATTTCACTTGGCATTATTAAAATGACCAAAATATTAAATGGGATATTTATAATTTTTTTTGTTACATTTAATATTAATATTTATTTGTATTGCCATAGCAGCATCTATGGCTATTTTCACAGCAAAAATCAATGTATTTTAAAAGAGACAAATACTAGCTACATACAGTAGTAATGAAAATCAAATGACAACAAACTAATATTAATATTAATATTTCAGTTATTTTTCCCTTAATTATACAGATTTAACATTTATTTAATATTACATGTTCATAACATTACATTTAATTTTAACTAATTTAATCTAACTTAACTAAATTAGTTATTT